TGCAGGCCATCGGCGGGGACGTGCAGGCGGTGTACCTGCACCACAACAACATCCGAAGCCTGGAACCGCTCACGCCCTTCATCGAGCAGCACTGGGAGACCCTAAAGGAGCTGCACCTGAGCCACAACCGACTGTCCACGACGGAGACGAAGGCCTTGCTCCTTCTGCTCGGCTGCACGAAGGTGAGCGCCGCCGGAGCCGAAACCGCCGGCAGTTGCTCCTGGCTGAGGTTGGAGTTCAACCACATCGACGTGGACGGACTCCTGGAGCAGCTGCCCTCGCAGATCAAAAATAGACTACAGCTCAGCGACAGAGGATGCACTCCGAGACACTGCTGTTGCCAGGGACGACGGTACACCAAGCACATCCACTGCAAGTTCTTGACAGAGCAGCGCACAATCATGCCGGAGCACAAAATCCATCATCGCGATCAACGGCGCGAGCCAGCTCCCTCACGAAGTCGCTGCCACGACGACGAGGAGACCCAGGACAACCCAAAGACTGTAACTTAAGCAGACCAGCTAGACGAAGACCAAAGCCACAGCCACGAAAAAAAAAACAACCAACCTGTCCAGAAGAGCAGCGACCCAAACCCCTCAGCCCGACCTAAAGACACACAAAAAAAAGAGATCAACACCAAAGTCGTCCTGCCACAGCTCTGCAGCAGGAACCGCGGCCAAGCATCTCATCGGTATAGGCATCCCGGTTTCACCCGAGAAAAGATATGCACACAGTCCGTAAAAGCCCGGGCAATGCCATCGGCAGCCAGCGCTGACAGAACCGGCAGACTAGCAGCATGCAAGTCCGACTGCCCGCCGCCGCGAGGCACAGCATGTCCCGCAGCCACGGCAAGCCAAACACGCGTAGACCGCATGAAGGCCTACCGGCAAACAGCCCCCGCCCCGCGGCGGCAGCCATGGCGACGAACGAGGCGACGACGAGAGCGCCGGGACAAACAACCGTGGCCTCGAGGGCAGCAGAATACCAATGAAAAGATGAAGCACGTCATCAAGCAGCACTGGAAAGACGAGCAAGAGTACACCGACGCGAAGACGCTCCGTCCCTTCCTGCTAGCACTGCTCACGTCCTCGGAGTCCGGGTACTCTCGACAGCAGCGACTCTGGCAAGATGCATGCTGGTTCCTCAGCAAGCAGCACAGAGCTCAGGCGGAAACAGTCAATGTGCGCAGCATAGAACGACACAATTAACCTCACGGGCGGACTTGCGAAACACTCACGTCACGCTCTGTCCACCGCCAAGGTGCGCAACAGCTGGCGGCGGTCGCCAGAAAGCGGCATGGGACGAACTTCCGACGCGACTCCGCAAGATGCAAACCGAGACCTTATCGGCGCGGTCGGAGCCGGGACACCCACGACAGCAGCACCTCTGGCAGGACGCGTGCTGGGTCCTCACGCAACAGCCCGCGACTCAGAGAAAAACCCACAGATCACGCAGCATGCACACGGTAAAACTAACACCCACAGACACAGCTGCACGTCGGTCCCATAACGATATGTCCACCACCAAGCCACGAAGCAGCCCGCGACGGTCTCCAGAAAGCAGCATGGGACCGACTGCTGACGAGACTTCACCTGATGCAGAACGAGACCAAACAAGCGGGACGTCGCATCGTACTGCTAAGAGCGCAAGGCTAAAAGCCACGCACATAGGCAAGCTCTCAAGAAGCTCCCCAGACCAGATGCCGGTGAGCCGGTACATTCTGTTTCAAGCTTTGTGCTCCAAGCCGAGCTACACACTCGGAGACGCCACCGTCAGTCGCGATGGCAGCTCAAGAACAGCAAAATTAATCCGAGAGGGCTTGCTCCTTTGCATGAAACCACGCCGCCGTCACCGCCGACACATCCTCGGAAAGCCGGCTAGCTCGTAAAAATCAAACGGCTTCGAGCGATACCAGCCCCTGCTCTCGCCGGCCGACAGGCTCAAGCCGTGGATACTCTCGAGAGCCCTCGCAGCCTAGAAGCAGCCACACAGAAGAGCGGCATGGCAGGCAGCAGAGCTCACACCTGCGTCCCCTCCACGAAGAAACAGCGTTGCAGCACCGGTGGAATCAGACTGAGATCACGTGCCACCACCGGCGACGCAGCCGGGCGCGAAGACGGCTCGGAGCTCGTTGCCACCATCCGACGCTGGGGAAGCACCTTCGGTGTCTTCGAGGACGGCTACTGCGGGGAACCGTTCTGGCAAATCCAGATCGCGCAAAAAGGGCGGCAAGCTTTTGGCTACGACTTGCTGGCCACGTGCAGAGAAGCCTTGCAGAAACACCCCGACACCGACATTCGCCCCCTAGCGCAGCTGGAGGCCAAGATGCACATCAGAATCCTGGGCGGGGCCCCTCCCATAACCGGGCCATCGGATCCCGACGACGTGGGCATACAAAACTGACAACCCGTGCTGTACGCCCCCACGCCAGAGGACGCGCTGAACCTGGTCCACTTCATCACCCGGCACAAGGTGACCACCGGGCAACTTCTGGAACTCCCGCACTTCATCGCCTTGTTCCCATGCAAAGACTCCGCAAGCGTACCCGCACCCTGGATCATCCACGACGAGCACCCGCTGAAACACCTGCCATTCCAAGCGCTCCCGCCGCGAGGCCGCCGACATGTGCTGTTACAAGTAGAACTGGAAGGAGCTGCCGATGAAACGACGACCAGGCCAGTCGTCAACGAGGAAACGAGCCAGAAGGTACCCGACGCACCACAAGACGGCCAACAGTACAATCTCATGATCTTCGGCGGCATCTGGGTACTCCGGGAGCTCTTCGACGCCGCTAACATCCCGGGCGGCACCATCTCGTTCCCGGACAGCGCAAAAACCCAATACGTTCGGCATTTGAAGCTCAAGTTCTCCGAAGGCCACAAGCGCCGACTCCAGAACATCCTCGAACAAGTCCGGCTGCACATCCCCATCTACCTGATCGACAACACAGGCGTCAAGACGGATCCCCTGATCGACTGGTTGCAACAGCAACCGTCCGTACACCTGAGCGAAAAATCTGGTAGGCAGCGCCGCGAGGGCACTTCGCAAACACAAGCCGAAGGGCTGCCCGAGCGAATGCCGTGCCTAGTACAGAGTCCATCTAACAGCAGGTATAAGCCTCGAAGGAGCAAGAATTTACACTGCCCCGCTATGAAGCCGAAGGCAACCTGCTCGCAAAGCAGAAAAAAGGAGCAAGCCGGGGATGTCAGTTCGCAGCACCCACCCCGTGGAGCCAGAGCACAGACAGTATCAGATGCCACAAACCTTCGTCGCAGCCAGACGACCTTGCGGCTCAAGCTCGAAACCCACCCAGAGAAAACGAGAAGACAGGCCAAGCAGGCATGTCCGACCTCGACTGCCACGCGCCCTGGCACCATATCCAAGAGAGCAGCAGCGAGGGCGAGGAGATACAAGCAGCGGTGTTCCGCAAGCCACCAGCACCGCAGTCGCCGCGTCAGAGCATCACTCGGGGCACTTTTGCATTCCGAACGCCACCGAAGCCCAGAGACAAACGTCTCCGCCGCCTAGTGCAAGCGGAACGACAAGAGCTTCGAGTCTTCCTGCACGAGAACCCATGCCCCGCGAAGAGGCTCGTGCAGCAATGGCTGCTAGACGCGGCAAGCAGCGCAGTCCGCGGAGAACCCAAACCGCGGACCCTCGCAGGGATACTAGAATGCAATGGATGGACGTACGAAAACCTCGGCTGGTTTCACTACCGTTCCTTCGCCGACCTCTGGCGATCCGGCACGACTGCATTCGCAGCCAGCGTCGACGCACAGCGTGCAGGCGGCATATGCCTCTACCAACGAGGAGGAAGAGAATGCATGCAGTTCAACTACTATGTGCTCCACTACGCGATGTGCGGCGAGGACTTCGTCGCCAACCCTCCACTATCGGCCTTCGGCTTCGTCAACCGGATCGAGAAAGCGTTGGACGGCATCGGATCCTGGAAGGCTTGAGAACGGGCAAGGAGACGTGCAGACCACCGCACCCGATCTCAGCACTCCAACGCAACAGGAAAACAAAAAGTTCACGAGCGCGGGTAAGTCGGAGTTTCGCAGAGCCCTTCCAGATCTCGATCCGACGATCGGCCGCAGCCATAAAAAAAACACTCAAGCCGAATCTCCACCAGAACAAGCTAGAGAAGGGGCAGCATGGCTTCTACGACATCGGTGCCTCGGACACGCACACACGCCACAGCGCAACCGAAGAAATCGCAGATAGTTGCTCCAACCACCCGTTGCACCAGTGACGCAAGCTCAGCGCATCTCAGGAAGAAAGACCTGCGCCCGCCGACGCGGTGAGCGCAGAAAAATCAGAAAGCTCGCCAGTCGAAACACAAGGAGCGGTACTGAGCTGCCAAGCCACGCAAATGATGACGGCGGTCAGCGCCCCAGACCAGTGCCTCAGCAAGCGAAACAGGCCGAGTGTCCAGCTGAAGCGACGCTCGACTGCAATCCCCCCCCCCACCCCCCCCCACCCCCCCCCCCCCCCCCCCCCCCCCCCCCCCCCCCCCCCCCCCCCCCCCCCCCCCCCCCCCCCCCCCCCCCCCCCCCCCCCCCCCCCCCCCCCCCCCCCCCCCCCCCCCCCCCCCCCCCCCCCCCCCACCCCCCCCCCACCCCACCCCCCCCCCCCCCCCCACCCCCCCCCCACCCCCCCCCCCCCCCCCCCCCACCAGCCCCCCCCACCCCCCCCCCCCCCCCCCCCCCCCCCCCCCCCCCCCCCCCCCCCCCCCCCCCCCCCCCCCACCCCCCCCACCCCCCCCCCCCCCCCCCCCACCCCCAACCCCCCCCCCCCCCCCCCCCCCCCCCCCAAGACACAAGAATCACACGGCGACCAAGGCCACGCAGACAGACCAACAACAACCCGACGAAGATCCTGCCGCGCCAACCAAGCCTTCACGTCAAGAACCTCGATCAGCACAAGACGGAAGGAGTGACCAACAAACAACTTGCCCAAAGCTCCGAATCCGGCATCGACAAATGCCTGCATGCGAGGTGATGCCGCGGGAAGACGGCGCGGCACAAGCAGATGCCGACGGGATGAAGGACATGTCGCAGAAAATGCCGACACTGGGAAACCGGATCATGGTGCTGAAAGAAGGCTGGGTCGCGCTGATACTGAGCGGCACAAAAACCATGGAGCTGCGCAACCAGCCAGCAAAAACAGGACCAATCTGGATTGGATTCGAAGGTCGCGTCTATGCCCACGCAGAAATTTCAGACTGCAGGCAGATGTCGCAGGAGATCTACGAAGAAACCAGAGCACAACACCGCCACATGGGCAAAATGAAACAAGGCGACTCGCTGTACGGCTTGGTGCTGACGAACCTCGTCCAACTAGCGCATCCAATCGACTACTACCAGAAGCCCGCAACGGTGCTCTGGGAGAACTTCAGGACTGGACCGGACGAAAAGCTCCCCCCCCGCAGAGCTTCAAAGCGCGCACAAGAAATGCGGGCTTTACAAGATGCTCGCGAGGATGACGAAACCTCGGAAATCGACGAGAGCCCCGGGTGCAAGAACACAGAAGAAGAAGATCGGCGGGGAAAAGACGGCGGAGACGCCACGCGGCCAAGCACGGAGCGACAAGGAGCATCCACAAAAAGACGCCGGCCTCGCAAATCCGCCCTCCCGCCAATGTAGACGAAGCCCGACCAGGAAAATCCGAGCTCCGCGTACCAGACGTCCAGCTGCAGCAAAAGTGGCGAACACCCACTGGGAACGGCGCCCCGAACACGCGCCGAGACCTAAAGCGATGAGCCTCTGCACAAAGAAAAGGGAGCGCTGCAGCTCAGACCGCAAAGCATGCTAGAAGGGTATTGCAGAAACTGCCACCCCAGCCGATCGCCACTGCAGCTATTTGGTTCAAGAGCCCTCGCCTCCAAGCACCGCAGAGAAGGCAGTCCAGCGCGAAGATGGCCAGCAAGGAGTCCAGGACACGGAGAATGCCACGACGGACGCCGTGGGCAGACATTCATGACAAGAAAGGGGAACGACAAAGCGCCAGAGTCGTGTGGCAGCCCTGTGCTCGATCAGGACAGCGACTGCTCCACAAAGGCCCGCACCGCCGCTGTGCCGGCTGCACAGGCCACGCCACCAGAGAGCACCCCCAAGAAGAAGCCTCGCTCGCCAGGAAGAGAGCACGTCAGCTGGCTCGACACGCGACGGCAAGGAAGCTCACAGACCCAAGCCGCGCAAGAAACCAGAACGAACCGCGACCAACAGGGCAGCTGACACTCATCCGACAGGAGCCGCACAACGACAACAGCACGCAAGCCTCGATGCCAGACGTCCAGACGGCAGACCAGAAAACTCGACGCGACCGCAGACGGAGGACCACGCAACAGCCAGGCCCCCAGATGGAACCACGCCATCGAGATCAGCCGTCTGGCTGTGCCCTTCCACCTGAGGAACGCGACCACGGCCTTCGTGGATAGATGCCAGAGCCCAACAGCGCCGAAACCCCGCCCGGACACCCACGTCGAGCCAACATGGAGTCGGAACCTCAGAGTCCCAATGTCGACGGCCCCGCCTCTAGAGGCCCCTGCACAGTAACCACAGTCGCACGACAGGTGAGCCGCAGGAACTTGGTTGCGACTACACTCTTCAGGAAGAAGTACGCCAATTCGTCAGAGCAGTCATGTACCGCGAGCTGGAACAAGAACAGCTCGCATGGTGGCAGGACAGCCTGAAGGAGCGCTGCCGCTACCACCGCTTCCCATGCCGAACGTGGTTCGAGCTCGTCTACACATGGCGCCCTGCTATACACTCTCCAGAGCCAAGACCCAACGA